GGATGTATAGTGGTGGTGGTGAGGTTGTAGTAGTGGTGGTGAGGTTGTGTAGTTGGGGTCGTGAGGTTGTGTAGTGGTATTGGTGAGGTTGTGTAGTGGTGGTGGTGTTGAGGTTGTGTAGTAGTGGTGGTGAGGTTGTGTAGTGGTATTGGTGAGGTTGTGTAGTGGTGGTGGTGAGGTTGTGTAGTGGTGGTGGTGAGGTTGTGTAGTGATGGTGGTGAGGTTGTGTAGTGGTGGTGGTGAGGTTGTGTAGTGATGGTGTGGTTGTGTAGTTGTGGTGGTGAGGTTGTGTAGTTGTGGTGGTGAGGATGTATAGTGGTGGTGGTGAGGTTTTAGTAGTGGTGGTGAGGTTGTGTAGTTGGGGTCGTGAGGTTGTGTAGTTGTGGTGGTGAGGTTGTGTAGTGGTGGTGGTGAGGTTGTGTAGTGGTGGTGGTGAGGCTATGTAGTGGTGGTGGTGAGGTTGTGTAGTGGTGGTGGTGAGGTTGTGTGGTGGTGGTGGTGAGGTTGTGTAGTGGTGGTGGTGAGGTTGTGTAGTGGTGGTGTGTGTAGTGGTGGTGGTGAGGTTGTGTAGTGGTGGTGGTGAGGTTGTGTAGTGGTGGTGGTGAGGTTGTGTAGTGGTGGTGGTGAGGTTGTGTAGTGGTGGTGGTGAGGTTGTGTAGTGGTGGTGGTGAGGTTGTGTAGTGGTGGTGGTGAGGTTGTGTAGTGGTGGTGGTGAGGTTGTGTAGTGGTGGTGGTGAGGTTGTGTACTGGTGGTGGTGAGGTTGTGTAGTGGTGGTGGTGAGGTTGTGTAGTGGTGGTGGTGAGGTTGTGTAGTGGTGGTGGTGAGGTTATGTAGTGGTGGTGGTGAGGTTGTGTACTGGTGGTGGTGAGGTTGTGTAGTGGTGGTGGTGAGGTTGTGTAGTGGTGGTGATGAGGTTGTGTACTGGTGGTGGTGGTGAGGTTGTGTAGTGGTGGTGGTGAGGTTGTGTAGTGGTGGTGGTGAGGTTGTGTAGTGGTGGTGGTGAGGTTGTGTACTGGTGGTGGTGGTGAGGTTGTGTAGTGGTAGTGGTGAGGTTGTGTACTGATGGTGGTGGTGAGGTTGTGTAGTGGTGGTGGTGAGGTTGTGTAGTGGTGGTGGTGAGGTTGTGTAGTGGTGGTGGTGAGGTTGTGTACTGGTGGTGGTGGTGAGGTTGTGTAGTGGTGGTGGTGAGGTTGTGTACTGGTGGTGGTGGTGAGGTTGTGTAGTGGTGGTGGTGAGGTTGTATAGTACCGGTAGGGAGCCAGTCGGCCGAGCGGACAGCACGCTGGGCTTGTGATCCTGTAGTCCCGAGTTCGATCCCAGGCACCGGCGAGAAACAATGGGCAAAGTTTCTTTCACCCTATGCTCCTGTTACCTTGCAGTAAAATAGGTACTTGGGTGTTAGTCAGCTGTCACGGGCTGCTTCCTGGGGGTGGAGGCCTGGTCGAGGACCGGGCCGCGGGGACACTAAAGCCCCGAAATCATCTCCAGATAACCTCAAGAAGATACCGTCCTATAGTGGTGATAGTGAGGTTGTATAGTACCGTCCTATAGTGGTGATGGTGAAGATCTATAGTACCGTCCTGTAGTGGTGATGGTGAGATTGTATAGTACCGTCCTATAGTGGTGATGGTGAGATTGTATAGTACCGTCCTATAGTGGTGAGGATGTGGAAGTAAACGATATGGAAGAAAATGCAGAATAGAACCAGTGAAGAGCAGAAACCATAGGTACAATCAGAGAACACTGTATAAACATCAGAGGTCCACGGTTGTTCAACGTCCTCCCAGCAAGCATAAGAAATATTGCCGGAACAACCGTGGACATCTTCAAGAGGAAACTAGATTTATTCCTGCAAGGAGTGCCGGACCAACCGGGCTGTGGTGGGTATGTGGGCCTGCGGGCCGCTCCAAGCAACAGCCTGGTGGACCAAACTCTCACAAGTCAAGCCTGGCCTCGGGCCGGGCTTGGGGAGTAGAACAACTCCCAGAACCCCATCAACCAGGTATCAACCAGATGTATAGTACCGTCCTATAGTGGTGATGGTGAGGATGTATAGTACCGTCCTATAGTGGTGATGGTGAGGATGTATAGTACCGTCCTATAGTGGTGATGGTGAGGATGTATAGTCCCGTCCTATTGTGGTGATGGTGAGGATGTATAGTGCCGTCCTGTAGTGGTGATGGTGAAGTTGTATAGTACCGTCCTATAGTGGTGATGGTGAGGTTGTATAGTACCGTCCTATAGTGGTGATGGTGAAGTTGTATAGTGCCGTCCTGTAGTGGTGATGGTGAAGTTGTATAGTGCCGTCCTATAGTGGTGATGGTGAGGATGTATAGTACCGTCCTATAGTGGTGATGGTGAGGATGTATAGTACCGTCCTGTAGTGGTGATGGTGAGGATGTATAGTACCGTCCTATAGTGGTGATGGTGAGGATGTATAGTACCGTCCTATAGTGGTGATGGTGAGGATGTATAGTGCCGTCTTGTAGTGGTGATGGTGAAGTTGTATAGTACCGTCCTATAGTGGTGATGGTGAGGTTGTATAGTACCGTGATATAGTGGTGATGGTGAGGATGTATAGTACCGTCCTATAGTGGTGATGGTGAAGTTGTATAGTGCCGTCCTGTAGTGGTGATGGTGAGGATGTATAGTACCGTCCTATAGTGGTGATGGTGAGGATGTATATTGCCGTCCTATAGTGGTGATGGTGAGGATGCATAGTACCGTCCTGTAGTGGTGATGGTGAGGATGTATAGTACCGTCCTATAGTAGTGATGGTGAGGATGTATAGTACCGTCCTGTAGTGGTGATGGTGAGGATGTATAGTGCCGTCCTGTAGTGGTGATGGTGAGGATGTATAGTACCGTCCTATAGTGGTGATGGTGAAGTTGTATAGTGCCGTCCTGTAGTGGTGATGGTGAAGTTGTATAGTACCGTCCTATAGTGGTGATGGTGAGGATGTATAGTGCCGTCCTGTAGTGGTGATAGTGAGGATGTATAGTGCCGTCCTGTAGTGGTGATGGTGAAGTTGTATAGTACCGTCCTATAGTGGTGATGGTGAGGATGTATAGTGCCGTCCTGTAGTGGTGATGGTGAGGATGTATAGTACCGTCCTATAGTGGTGATGGTGAAGTTGTATAGTGCCGTCCTGTAGTGGTGATGGTGAAGTTGTATAGTACCGTCCTATAGTGGTGATGGTGAGGATGTATAGTGCCGTCCTGTAGTGGTGATGGTGAAGTTGTATAGTACCGTCCTATAGTGGTGATGGTGAGGATGTATTGTACCGTCCTGTAGTGGTGAGGATGTATAGTGCCGTCCTGTAGTGGTGATGGTGAGGATGTATAGTGCCGTTCTATAGTGGTGATGGTGAGGATCTATAGTGCCGTCTTGTAGTGTAGGAATGTTGCACACTGTTGCACAATGACAGCCCCTTTCAAAACTGGATAATTTGCTGACCTGGAGAGCGTGCAGAGATCCTATACTGCTAGATTCCACTCAGTAAAACATCTAAACTCTTGGGACCGACTAAAATTCCTAAATCTTTATTCTCCTGAGCGCAGGCGGAAGAGATACATAATAAGTTATACATGGAGAGTACTAAAGGGTTGGTCCCAAACCTGCACACAAAAATAACAGCACATGAGACCAGAAGGCATTCCAGGATGTGTAGAATACCCCCGTTGAAAAGCATAGGTGCAATACGTATTCTGAGAGAGGACTCTATCAACATCAGTGATCCGAGACTGTTCAACACGCTTCCACTACACATAAGGGGCATAACTGGCCGACCCCTCACAGTGTTCAAGAGAGAGAACTTGATAAACACCTCCAAAGGATAGCTGATCAACCAGGCTGTGACTTACACGTCAAGCTGCCAGCAGCCGTGTCCAACAGCCTGGTTGACCAGTCCATCAACCTAGAGGCCTGGTCGAGGAGACCAGGCTGCGGGTAAGTTAAGGTTCGAAACAATCTCAAGGTAACCTCAAAGTAAGGTAATGTATGTAGGTGGTGAGCGCACACTTGGTGCTCCCAAGTCCACATGCCACAGCTCTCGTGTCAAAGGCAGCAAGCAAGACAGTCCATGCCTGAGGTCTCTCCGCTCCTGGTTAGTGTTTACGTTGGACGATTGCTGTTTGCCCTGCTAGTGATGGTTTGCCACTGACAGGGTGACGTTTGGATTTACCATGGGGACTTCTCGCCCTCCAGTGAAGTGGACATTGTCGGCTGGTCTGGCATTTATGGAGCCGGTGGACCATCCGTTGGTTCGTGTCGCCCTAGTGGACGTGCTACATGTGCAGCTGTCGGACTTAGTGGGCGTCCAGCTGCTTCAGGGCAACCGTGCTGTGGTCATGTTCCACCTCCAGGCTGCCTTTCAGGTGTTTCTCGAGCGGTGAAGACTCGGAGTGTGTCTCCCCTTCGTGATGTGCCTTGGAAGGAGGTGGGGGAGTACCCGCTGCCCACCCCCGCCGTAGATGTTGGGGCTGTGAGGGGCTTCGAGTTGCTACTTGTGCCCCCCCCCTGCACCTTCTGCTGTTGGATCCGCACTGTGGGGGGTTGCCCCTGATGATCGGGACATCGTCCTGGTGTTGAGGAACGAAGTGTGCCGGGGGGCCTTGGCTCCTGTGCCCAGTGGTGGGGTCGATGCCGCGCCTGCATCCCCTGCTGTTCCCCCTCCTTTGTTGCCCCGGTCTGGAGGAAGCCTTGTTCCAGCTGCCAGGGTCGTGTCCCGTGAGGGTCAGGTGTTGGACCCTTATCGGGATGCCCGGGTGCTTCTGATCCCGTGGTGCTCTTCCACTATCTGGGTGTCGTGGGCGAAGGAGTTTGTTTATAGCTTGGCGGATAAGATGTCTCAGCCAAAGAAGCCACCTGGTGGCCAGGTGTCCTTTTACATGTTGATGATTTGGGAAGCGTACTGCTTGCACTTTCCTATATACAAGTTCCCGGAAAAATATTAGTAGATATCTTGCACACAACGCTATGCCATGGATCCGCTGACGCCATGAACTCGACATCCCGCCTACGGCACGACGCGACTAGCACATTTGACATTCTTATCCTCCTCAACGTCAACGAGTCCCCCACCAACTGCCCTGGTGCAGTCATCGAGAGGGTTAACCCTTCATGCAAACTGCACCTCCTCTCAAGAAGATGAAGAAGACAGTCCATGCTTGGTGGCAGCCTCTACACAATTATAATCAGCATAACAAACTACTGCGTCTTCCATTAGTTAATAGATCTGCCCACAGAACAGTGAGACTTGGCCGGACAATGATCGACAGTGTTAAGATGGGCCGCAGAGGGTATGGAACCTTACCTTATGCAACCTTGAAGTATGGCCTGGTGGGCGTTACGGGCATGATCACAAGTGAAACCAGCTCCAGCATGGAGCCCTCGGCCTAATAGTGATCTGTGAGAGTCAAGAAATATGAGGTAGGGTTATAAGCTGTTTTGACAATTATTCTTGAGCATTTGGGCATGTTCAAGACTCCTTCAGCTTGAGTGACCACCGTTCTCAGTGCTCATGTTCAGCTAATTTTATTGATTGATGTAGCCTTATGCGGCTAGTTTACTATGCACCCCATACTCATCCTATGAGTAATATCACAAAAATGATTACAAAGGGTAAAAAAGGACTTTATCAGACCTGAACGGAGATTATTATTATTATTATTACACTTGAAATTATAATGCCAGCTGTTTACAGATATTTTCTCATTTCAACATCTATGTCGTTACACAATTATTATACATTGATGGGAGGTCTTTTCGCTAATACATAACTATTCTGATGCGGGGGTATTATATGATGATACAACAGCTGCTGCTTATTATTAATAGTCTTCACACTACACTACTTGTTCTCTAACCTCACGTTGTTTATCTACTAGAAGCACAGCATGGATTCACTGTAAGGATTTCAGATATTTTATCATTTGTAATAAGATGGTTTGTCATTTCATGCAGCGTGAGTTTAGATTTATCTCAAAAAGGCAATTTTTTCATAGTCTGGAATGTAATGCTCAAGTGTGTGTCTATGTTTTTGTCTACACATTACACTTACTTCTTCTAGATCCCTGTACAAGCCGAACTGCCAGACACACCTGGTGCCAAGTGGCACTCGAGCTGTGACAACGTCTGTTAGTCTGCTGATTTTGTTACTTGCCCCATACACATGTTTTGTTTGACACATCTCATTGTGATGAACAGTTTTCTGCTAGTTCCTGTTTGCACTATTCATCTTTCTTCAAATTTATTTATTTGAGCACTCAAGATTACGTTCAACATTATCTTCATTTACTGCTATCTTAGCAAGGGTATCAACTTTATCATGTTCCTGCAGGTCAGTATGAGAAGGAATCTACATTTTCAGTTTTACCCCCATATTAAATGTGCATATATATCTATGGCTTCTGAGACAATAACGTTATTGAGTGCAAGCTATTTAATGCTAGTAGTGAGGAAAGAGAGTCTGAAATAATTAAACTGTCTACTTCAGTGTTGTCAATAATTTTGAGTGCTATCAGTATAGCCAACAGTTAAACTCGCAAGGTGGCTGCCCAGTTACTGACTTTAATATTCTTTTCAAGTGTGCTTCCATCAGACTGATGAACTATACCATCACTACCCGCCCTCTCTGAAGCGGTATTGAGTGATCCGTCAATGTATGTGGTCTGTGTGATTGTAGATTGTGTATGTGTCTCAAGGTATTTAATTTAGCAGCAAGCTGATCATGATGGATGTGTGTGTGATTAGTTTCTTGGTGGGGTATGTAGGTGTCAGGATGTCAAAAGGTACTATCTGTCAGTGTGGAAGGAAGTGCTGCACTTTTTCATCTTTACATACATCGTGCTGCCCCACCATTTTAATATGGGAGGCTGTTCTTTGAACCCATCGAGAATCACTAGCTCCACTGCGTAAGTGTTCGAACAGTTCAACTGATACAGTGTTGCTGCTTTTGTTATTACGCAGAAGCTTTAGTACCATCATAAGATTTATTTCAATTATCCATCTTGAATGCCAGGAATATTTAGTTCCTTCCACATATTGAGAACTTTGATGGCTATTAGACAGTCATTTCTAATTATGAGGGTATCATTTTACATTTTGTCCAGTCTATCAATATTTTTGCCATGATGTATGACTAAGGTTTGTCCGTGATACTCTGCCAAGTACGTCACTTACTATTCTAATATTAACACCGTATTGAGGGCTGTACCCCACTACAGTTCTGAGAGCCTTGAGCCTTTCTTTACATTGTTGATGTAACTTTTTTACTGCAGTTAAGTTACAAGGGAGTGAGACACCAAGGTATTTGAAAGAGGAGACATTATCTATTTGACATATTATGTCTTAAGTTTTGTGGCTCACTGTTGCGATTACCAATTTGTCTGTTAAAAGCCTTAGCTTTTGCGGCGTTAATTACAAAACCAAGGCTCTCACAAGCTGTATGTATGCAATTTATGGTTATCTGCATTTCGTGGTGCGTTTTTGTATGCACAAGGATGTCATGTGCATAGCAATAGTGATGTTTATAGGACTAGTTGGGATTGATTTTAGTAAGGCATTGATTAGAACATTAAACAAAATAGGACTTAATACTCCTCCTTGTGGGGTGCTTAACTATATTAATGTTAATGATAGTTACATTAATATAGTTTCAGTTTTGTAACCTTGGAACAGTGTAAAGACTTCCGGTTGGTAAAATAGCCCCGTATCCACTGTAATAATTAACCACATATATTAATTCTAGTCAATTTATAGAGGATCACTTCCCTGTTGACAATATCATAGGTATTTTTCAGATCAAGAAATGTAGTGTACTTGTGCTCTTTATCTCCATGAACAGTGAAAAAGATGATACAGTTGTGTACACTTTTCTGTGTGAAAACATTGATATCAGGTGACATGTGCTCTTTAACTCTATACAATAATCTATTAAGCTCCATTATCTCAAAGATTTTCCACATACAACTGGTCAGTGAGATGGGACGAAAAACATCAGGTTGGTTAGACTTTGGTACCGGTACCGTGAGACTGTTGGTCCATGGTACCGGTACCGTGAGACCGCTGGTCCATGTTACAGGTACCGTGAAACTGCTGGTCCATGGTACAGGAGACTGCTGGCCCATGGTACAGATACCGTGAGACTGCTGGTCCATGGTACAGGTACCGTGAGACTGCTGGTCCATGGTACCGGTACCGTGAGACCGCTGGTCCATGTTACAGGTACCGTGAAACTGCTGGTCCATGGTACAGGAGACTGCTGGTCCATGGTACAGATACCGTGAGACTGCTGGTCCATGGTACAGGTACCGTGAGACTGCTGGTCCATGGTACCGGTACCGTGAGACTGCTGGTCCATGGTACAGGTACCGTGAGACTGCTGGTCCATGGTACAGGTATCGTGAGACTGCTGGTCCATGATACAGGTACCGTGAGACTGCTGGTCCATGGTACCGGTACCGTGAGACTGCTGGTCCATGGTACAGGTACCGTAAGACTGCTGGTCCATGGTACAGGTACCGTGAGACTGCTGGTCCATGGTACAGGTACCGTGAGACTGCTGGTCCATGGTACAGGTACCGTGAGACTGCTGGTCTATGGTACAGGTACCGTGAGACTGCTGGTCCATGGTACAGGTACCGTGAGACTGCTGGTCCATGGTACCGGTACCGTGAGACTGCTGGTCCATAGTACAGGTACCGTGAGACTGCTGGTCCATGGTACAGGTATCGTGAGACTGCTGGTCCATGGTACCGGTACCGTGAGACTGCTGGTCCATGGTACAGGTACCGTGAGACTGCTGGTCCATGGTACAGGTACCGTGAGACTGCTGGTCTATGGTACAGGTACCGTGAGACTGCTGGTCCATGGTACAGGTACCGTGAGACTGCTGGTCCATGGTACCGGTACCGTGAGACTGCTGGTCCATAGTACAGGTACCGTGAGACTGCTGGTCCATGGTACAGGTATCGTGAGACTGCTGGTCCATGGTACAGGTACCGTGAGACTGCTGGTCCATGGTACAGGTACCGTGAGACTGCTGGTCCATGGTACAGGTACCGTGAGACTGCTGGTCCATGGTACCGGTACCGTGAGACTGCTGGTCCATAGTACAGGTACCGTGAGACTGCTGGTCCATGGTACAGGTATCGTGAGACTGCTGGTCCATGGTACCGGTACCGTGAGACTGCTGGTCCATTGTACAGGTACCGTGAGACTGCTGGTCCATGGTACAGGTACCGTGAGACTGCTGGTCTATGGTACAGGTACCGTGAGACTGCTGGTCCATGGTACAGGTACCGTGAGACTGCTGGTCCATGGTACCGGTACCGTGAGACTGCTGGTCCATAGTACAGGTACCGTGAGACTGCTGGTCCATGGTACAGGTATCGTGAGACTGCTGGTCCATGGTACAGGTACCGTGAGACTGCTGGTCCATGGTACAGGTACCGTGAGACTGCTGGTCCATGGTACAGGTACCGTGAGACTGCTGGTCCATGGTACAGGTACCGTGAGACTGCTGGTCCATGGTACAGGTACCGTGAGACTGCTGGTCCATGGTACAGGTATCGTGAGACTGCTGGTCCATGGTACAGGTACCGTGAGACTGCTGGTCCATGGTACAGGTACCGAGAGACTGCTGGTCCATGGCACAGGTACCGAGAGACTGCTGGTCCATGGTACAGGTACCGTGAGACTGTTGGTCCATGGTACAGGTACCGTGAGACTGCTGGTCCACGGTACAAGCAGCTGCCCCGGTGACATAACTCGCATTAAACATTTCTAATGGTGGATTACCGGGTACACGAAGTAGTAGTCTGAGGTGATACCGTCCTCACCAGGAGCAGTTCTACCGCCCCTGCGGACGCTCCTACTGCCCCTGGAGACGTTCCTACTGCCCCTAGAGACGCTCCTACTGCCCCTGGAGACGCTCCTTCTGCTCCTGGAGACGTTCCTACTGCCCCTGGAGACGTTCCTTCTGCCCTGGAGACGTTCCTTCTGCCCCTGGAGACGTTCCTTCTGCCCCTGGAGACGTTCCTACTGCCCCTGGAGACGTTCCTACTGCCCCTGGAGACGCTCCTACTGCCCCTGGAGACGTTCCTACTGCCCCTGGAGACGCTCCTACTGCCCCTGGAGACGTTCCTACTTCCCCTGGAGACGCTCCTACTGCCCCTGGAGACGTTCCTACTGCCCCTGGAGACGTTCCTACTGCCCCTGGAGACGCTCCTTCTGCTCCTGGAGACGTTCCTACTGCCCCTGGAGACGCTCCTACTGCCCCTGGAGACGCTCCTACTGCCCCTGGAGACGCTCCTACTGCCCCTGGAGACGCTCCTACTGCCCCTGGAGACGCTCCTACTGCCCCTGGAGACGTTCCTTCTGCTCCTGGAGACGTTCCTACTGCCCCTGGAGACGTTCCTTCTGCCCCTGGAGACGTTCCTACTGGCCCTGTAGACGTTCCTACTGCCCCTGGAGACGCTCCTACTGCCCCTGGAGACGTTCCTACTGCCCCTGGAGACGCTCCTACTGCCCCTGGAGACGTTCCTACTGCCCCTGGAGACGCTCCTACTGCCCCTGGAGATGTTCCTACTGCCCCTGGAGACGCTCCTACTGCCCCTGGAGACGCTCCTACTGCCCCTGGAGACGTTCCTACTGCCCCTGTAGACGTTCCTACTGCCCCTGGAGACGCTCCTACTGCCCCTGGAGACGTTCCTACTGCCCCTGGAGACGCTCCTACTGCCCCTGGAGACGTTCCTACTGCCCCTGGAGACGCTCCTACTGCCCCTGGAGATGTTCCTACTGCCCCTGGAGACGCTCTTACTGCCCCTGGAGACGTTCCTACTGCCCCTGGAGACGCTCCTACTGCCCCTGGAGACGTTCCTACTGCCCCTGGAGACGCTCCTACTGCCCCTGGAGACGTTCCTACTGCCCCTGGAGACGCTCCTACTGCCCCTGGAGACGTTCCTACTGCCCCTGGAGACGCTCCTACTGCCCCTGGAGACGCTCCTACTGCCCCTGGAGACGTTCTTACTGCTCCTGGAGACGTTCCTACTGCCCCTGGAGACGCTCCTACTGCCCCTGGAGACGTTCCTACTGCCCCTGGAGACGCTCCTACTGCCCCTGGAGATGTTCCTAC